CTGGCGGCGAGAACGGAGCCTGGCCCAGCCTGAGCTGCTCTCTGAGGGTTCTCTTGCTGGCTGTGGCTTACTTTCTGCCTTTTTCTGAGAAGGGAGGGTAGATGCTGGAAACATCAAGGAGAGGAGAGGGGTGAGCACGTGGATGAATGAGGGTACTGCTTTGCATCTTGGTGGTAACTCTGACCACAGAGATAGAAAGGGCCGCCCTGCAGGACGACTGAGGGCCAATGAGATGACATAAGCCAGGTGCCTAGCACTGCCTGCCATGTGGTGACAGGTGCCCAGGGAATAATAATGATAATAACGATAATAATGATAATAATAATAATAATACTGCCTCAAGTGGCCACTAGTCTTTTTTTTACCTTCAAACAAGGAAAATTTTCAAATTTAAAATCTTAAAATTTTTAGGGAAAAATGACTAGACTGTAGCCTGTCTTCAGGTTAAACTCCGGCTCCCTTCAGCTGTCACCAGGAAGACAGGAAGCCGTGAGAGACATCCTGTCTCAAGAATTCTTCTGTTAGTCAAGCCAGCACAGGGCACACAACACTGGCTGGCCCAGTGGCCCAGCTGAGCCTCGCATCTTGGGCAGGGCAGCCCGAGCAGCGCACCCACGTTTGTTGCCTTGTTCAAGAGAAAGGCCTAGGAGAGGCAGGGGAGGAATGGAGGAGCACACAACAGAATGCGAATTCAGGATGCGGACAGCTGATTCCACACCTTAAAGTCTGACAGATCCCATTCGTGAAACGTGGGACTGCAGTGCCAGGTGGGGCACAGAGGAGGCAAAGGCAGAGCCTCAGGTGGCTGCAGCCAGCAGGGGGCACTGGTGAGGACGGTCACAGCCCAGCCTGGAACGTGGGCCCCAGACGCTATAGCGCAGATTGTCCCCGGTTTACTCATATAAGATAAGGCTTTGAGGCTCTTGGTTTTGCATGGTGATGAGGGGAGGGAGTCTCTAATCCAGCCTTCTGCCCAACCTGGCCCTAGGCTTTGTCTCTTGTCCCCTGTGTATGTGTGGCCATGAGGACCCAGGCTCAGGGACACCAGAGATGAGCCTGTTCCTCCAGTGACGTAGCAGCCATGTGAGCTGGCAAAGGGCTGTGCCCCCAGGGGCCCCCACGGCCTCCAAGTGGGACGTGGCTAGGCTGTCCCCCCCATGTTACCTACGGCTGCTGGAGCAAAGTACCACAAATTTAGTGGATTAAAACAACACAAATTTATCATGGCCCAGTTCTGAGGTCAGGAGTCCGCTATGGGACCCCCTGGGGTAAGATCAAGGTGGTGGCAGGGCTGGTCCCTCTTTGGGGCTCTGGGGGAGACTCTCTTCTCTTGCCGTTTCCAGCTTCCAGGAGGCTCTCCGCATCCTTTAGCTTGTGGCCCCTTCTTCCACCATCAGAGCCTGCAGTGGCCCGTCAAATCCTTCTCCCATCGCACCACTCTGACACCCTTTTCTGCCTCCCTCTCTGCAACTAAAGACCCTGGTGATTCCAGAGGGATGACCTGCATAATCCCAGGGAATCTCCCATCTCAGCAGACTGACAGCCTTAATTCCACTTGCAGGTAAGTGGACACATTCGCAGGTTGTAGAGACTGGGATGTGGATATCTTTGGAGGCCTTTCTTCTGGCCACCATCATCCTCCTCCAGGACAAGTAACACCACATTTGGACCATTTCCAGGAGAAAGCAAGCTGTCCTCGGGGACAACCCCTCGATCTGCTCCCTGCAGGGTCCAGGGTTCTGGAGGGAGAGATAAGGGGAGCAAGACTGCAAAGACCAACCAACGACCTCCCAAAGGAACAGACCCATCGCTTTGGAAAGTGCACAGCTAACTTCCGGTCATCCTTTCCAAGCAACCCACACACACAACTCCAGAGGACAGACAGGACCC